TGTTGTGACTAATTTTGACTCATACAGGTTCGTATTCCAAACAAAGGTTGGATACCAAGCAAAAGTTTTCACGTCTTAACAGAACGTATACCAAGTTGAACATATATGAAGGTTCCTCGTGTGGGTTCTGGGGTCCCATTGTGGGGGAAAATAAGAATAGACCCACTGCCTCCCCAACAATTTCGTCGTAAGAGTCGGCTAAGTGGGTGTTTTCTTGAAAGTCGGGGTGTATCTGCATGAAAAGCATAGAACCAACAGTTTGCATACAAATAAGCAAAGATCTGTAAAATGGATGAAAACGCGAAACTCAGGTCCTGGAACAAAGTCAAAGTCCAGAAATTGACTAACAACTAGGTTTTTCCGCGGGGATTTACAGCCAGTAAACGCAAAAAACTAACAACATATACGGTGCTAACACTGTACGTGCAAACCTATGATCTATTATTTGTGTGAAGTCATTCTTTGTAAAGCGCAGTGAAGACCGGTTAACATATACTATCACGGGAATTACACAGTGAGCAAAACAGTTTCACGTTAAATATGAGTCATTGTATTTGTCCTGAAACTCTTACCTTCCTTATCTCTTCTCCTTCCCATGACAGAACATCTAAGACGAGTTAGATCCGAGATGCTTCTTTTTTTCTAGACATTAAAAAAAGTGCCGATACCTACTTACCTCATAGAGCAGCAGTTTCAGCTTGTTGGTCGCGATCTATTTTTGAGGTCGAACGACTCTTTTACAGGGGTCGCCTAACGCCATAGGAAAACACTCATTCATTGAAGTTATGAAGTAACAACGAAAATAATTGTATGGAGGAACCATGAGGAACTGTATTAAAGGGTGGTGACATAATAAATGTTGAGAACCGCTGACACAGAGTCTAAAAAATGCGCCGGCAATCACCACCTTGAACAGGAGGGCTATTCAACTGAGTTAACATAGGGGACATAATTATGAAAATGGGGATCGCCACGGGGCAAAAGGTTTGAGCCTCAGCATTGAAAAATTATTAATACAATTCAACCTGCAATGATCCACGGGCCATTTGCTAGACCGTCAAATATGGCCAGCGAGCCACCAGTTGAATAGCCCTCACCTACAGTCTTTAAAAAAAGGTATGGGTACTTAACGCAGAATGTGTGTTAAGTAGCCCTAAAAACAAACACTTGATGCCATAGGAAGTCTACAGCGTAAGCTGTATATTATCCCCACGAACAAAAATCATGCTTAGATCACTGAAGTACTGTTGTATGGTTTTTTTTTTTTTTTTGCTGGTTTGTTCTGTCTTTGCATATTTTATAACTTATTACAGCTATATAAGTTACATCACTGAGTAACAGACGTTATATGATTAACTCGTTTTTTTTTTTTAATTCTGTTATGCCCCCCCCCCTTTTCCACCCCGCCCACAAATCCCCTAAAAAATGATATAGACAACCAAATTATAACTGTTGCTTGATTAACCTGTTTTGTTCCATTATGCTCAGTTACTAAAGTAGCATCGGTTGTATTGTTATATTTAATAAAATAACATTGGTTGTATCATTAGACCTGTTTTGTTCCATTATGTTGCCCCACTAAAATCACAACTAATGTGGGATTAAATATGTGTTGTTCCATTATGTTGCCCCACTGAAATCACAACTAATGTGGGATTAAATATGTGTTGTTCCATTATGTTGCCCCACTAAAATCACAACTAATGTGGGATTAAATATGTGTTGTTCCATTATGTTGCCCCACTAAAATAACAACTAATGTGGGATTAAATATGTGTTGTTCCATTATGTTCCAGGTCAGAGATCCATGCTATCTATCCGACCAAGTTTGTTCAGATGGACGAGACCAGGTTCAGGATATTTAACACTCTGTATGAGCTTCCATGTAAGTGTGTGAGCTTCCATATAACTGTGTATGAGCTTCCATGTAAGTGTGTACAAGCTTCCATATAACTGTGTATGAGCTGCCATGTAAGTGTGTGAGCTTCCATGTATTTGTATGAAATGTCATGTAAGTGTGTATGGGCCTCCATGTAAGTGTGTACAAGCTTCCATATAACTGTGTATGAGCTTCTATGTAAGTGTGTGAGCTTTCATGTAATTGTATGAGATGTCATGTAAGTGTGTATGGGCTTCCATGTAAGTGTGTACAAGCTTCCATATAACTGTGTATGAGCTGCCATGTAAGAAGTTACAAGCTTCTGTGTAACTGTGTACAAGCTGCCATCTAACTGTGTACGAACTGCCATCTAACTGTGTACGAGTTGCCATCTAACTGTATACGAGCTGCCATCTAACTGTGTATGAGCAGCCGTCTAACTGTGTACGAGCTGCCATGTAACTGTGTACGAGCTGCCATGTAACTGTGTACGAGCTGCCATCTAACTGTGTACGAGCTGCCATGAAATTGTGTATGAGCTGCCATGTAACTGTGTATGAGCTGCCATGTATGTATCTACAAGCCTCTATGCAACTGTGTACTAGCTGCCAGGTAACTATGTACGAGCTGCCATGTAAGTATGTATAAGCTTCCATGTATTTGTGTACGAGCTGCCATATAACTGTACGAGCTGCCATCTAACTGTGTACGAGCTGCCATCTAACTGTGTATGAGCTGCTATCTAACTGTGTTTGAGCTGCCATCTAACTGTGTACAAGCTGCCATCTAACTTGTATGAGCTGCCATCTAACTGTGTATGAGCTGCTATCTAACTGTGTATGAGCTGCCATCTAACTGTGTATGAGCTGCCATCTAACTGTGTATGAGCTGCTATCTAACTGTGTATGAGCTGCTATCTAACTGTGTATGAGCTGCCATCTAACTGTGTATGAGCTGCCATCTAACTGTGTATGAGCTGCCATCTAACTGTGTATGAGCTGCTATCTAACTGTGTATGAGCTGCCATCTAACTGTGTATGAGCTGCTATCTAACTGTGTATGAGCTGCCATCTAACTGTGTATGAGCTGCTATCTAACTGTGTATGAGCTGCCATGTAACTGTGTATGAGCTGCTATCTAACTGTGTATGAGCTGCTATCTAACTGTGTATGAGCTGCCATCTAACTGTGTATGAGCTGCTATCTAACTGTGTATGAGCTGCTATCTAACTGTGTATGAGCTGCCATCTAACTGTGTATGAGCTGCTATCTAACTGTGTATGAGCTGCCATCTAACTGTGTATGAGCTGCCATCTAACTGTGTATGAGCTGCTATCTAACTGTGTATGAGCTGCTATCTAACTGTGTATGAGCTGCTATCTAACTGTGTACAAGCTGCCATCTAACTGTGTATGAGCTGCTATCTAACTGTGTACAAGCTGCCATCTAACTGTGTATGAGCTGCCATCTAACTGTGTATGAGCTGCTATCTAACTGTGTATGAGCTGCTATCTAACTGTGTATGAGCTGCCATCTAACTGTGTATGAGCTGCTATCTAACTGTGTATGAGCTGCTATCTAACTGTGTATGAGCTGCCATCTAACTGTGTATGAGCTGCTATCTAACTGTGTACAAGCTGCCATCTAACTGTGTATGAGCTGCCATCTAACTGTGTATGAGCTGCTATCTAACTGTGTATGAGCTGCCATCTAACTGTGTATGAGCTGCTATCTAACTGTGTATGAGCTGCCATCTAACTGTGTATGAGCTGCTATCTAACTGTGTATGAGCTGCTATCTAACTGTGTATGAGCTGCTATCTAACTGTGTATGAGCTGCCATCTAACTGTGTATGAGCTGCCATCTAACTGTGTATGAGCTGCTATCTAACTGTGTATGAGCTGCCATCTAACTGTGTACAAGCTGCCATCTAACTGTGTATGAGCTGCCATCTAACTGTGTATGAGCTGCTATCTAACTGTGTATGAGCTGCCATCTAACTGTGTACAAGCTGCCATCTAACTTGTATGAGTTGCCATCTAACTGTGTATGAGCTGCCATCTAACTGTGTATGAGCTGCCATCTAACTGTGTATGAGCTGCCATCTAACTGTGTATGAGCTGCCATCTAACTGTGTACAAGCTGCCATCTAACTGTGTATGAGCTGCCATCTAACTGTGTATGAGCTGCCATCTAACTGTGTATGAGCTGCCATCTAACTGTGTATGAGCTGCCATGTAAGTATGTGCAACAATTGATGGTAGTTTCAGCTGTAGGAGGATCTGTCTGACAGGTCATGGGATTAGAGTAAGACACAGAGAGGCACAATCCTGCCACTTTCCAAGAGAGGTTCATCACGACCCCAATAATGATCTGAGACGGGGGCACTCAAGCATTCTTTTAATTGCACAGTAATAATAATTTCCAGTAATTGCAGTCTAGTTAAATAATAATAGTAGTAATACCCCCATGCACACTTGAAGACTAGCCCTTGGAGCCCACCGCCCCTGACCCCTAGTACATGTATTATAGGGCTTAGCTCTTGAACGGTTTTCCTTGCATCAGTGCCGTTGTACCAGGGCTTCATAAGAACGAGTGCTGGGAATATTTTAGGCAGTCTCTGAAAAGAACACATCATCTGTCAAATTGTTACATACTGATGTTAGCATTACTAGGAGTGTTAACAGTCTCGGGTGCACTTAGGAGCAATGACCAAACATACGGCATTTGTGGCTTAAACGTTGTGAACGCGATTCATAATGCTAGGGTGCCGGACAATTTATCTTGTGTTGGTTTCAACAGTGATATGGAAAGCTAACCATTCAGAAGGTATTGGCAGATTACTGAACGTAAAATTTGCCTAGAAAAACCACAACAGCCAAAAAATATGCTAGGGTTGTTTCTGCAACCTCCTGTAAAGGATTCACAACCAACTTTCTTAACCATTAGCATGAGTCCTTCATTTACACTTTTGTTTTAACAAGAAGGGTGTATCATTTAATCAGTTAGTCAGGCACTATATATATATTGTATTTAACATTGTCACAATATTTTGCTTGCAATCTACATAATAATTATTATATAGTGATCATTACACTTATAAACTTGTGATCTTATTTCAGTGATTTATATTCTCGCCTGCCTGATTGACTTCTTCACCACAAGGAAAATCTACACACAGTGAGTATTTGTTTTAGTTATGTGCCCTTGTTACTGAAGAGTTGAAGCTCTTTGCCATAGAAGGAAGCTAGAAATGTTTATTTGGACTCATTTATATATGCATGGTTAGTGGCATTGTGTAGGAAGAGTAAAGATGCCTGAATGATTAAATAACCCGGTAGTGTAAATGTGCCAGAAAAATTTCAGTTAATTTTTGCCAAAAAGATACAAATATTACAGCTCTATTGTAAGCAGATGTATCATAACTACTATCAATTGTAAGGAAATAAAAATAGACAAATGAAAAAGAAAAAGAGAACACAAAAGTCGGAAGGAGATATGAAAAATAGTCTCAGCATAAAGATGCATGCGTCACAACTCAATAATATTTGCATAACCGGTGTGTCCTCACAACAGCGATGACGTTCAACCCTACCAGGACATCACAGCGAGCGATTAACACCTGGTGACACAAAGTGTCACCATTCTGATGATATAACCCAGGGACAAGTCCCAGAAACCCAGTTCAGCCTAAAGGATGACTTATATTAGAGCTCCCTGCAACAGCCAGGGTGGGGCTTTAAAACAACATAAAATTGCTACTGACATTGTGACGCAGTCAACAATTAGAAGATTTATTTTTATATTAACAGAACCACCAAGGGGTTCAAGGTTGGAGATGTGACCATGACATTTGAGTCCATATACAATGATGTCTGTGTTACTATGGATTCTGTACACAGTTCAAATGTGAGTATTCATCCTTTTTTCTTTTTTTAGTTATTGTTGTAAACAGACTGCATTCTTGCTGTTACACATTTTAGTTTCAGTTTTGTTTGCTTTGCTCTTTAAAATTCTGGTGTAGACTTCCATTTATGCTGTGGCCTTTCCCATGGGCTGTCCTATGTTCTAGGGGTGTCATGTTGTGTTATTTTCAATGCTGTAAGCATTCTATATTCCACATTGTGAGCGTCCAGCACATTCTATTGTCCGCATTGTCAGCAGCCTGGCATTGTGTGTGTTACAGCATTGTATGTTATTTCTTCATCGCTGTCACTGCAGCCTTACTTGGTGACTTGAACTTCAAGCAACATGCAGAGAAGCATTGAATTTCTGTATCAGATGCATCCTCATATCTACCAAGGCTGTAAAATTGCAGGCTTGTCAAATTCTGGGTCACCAACATGTATACAGAACATCCACTCTCTCTGTCCTTCTTAGGAACCACCCCTTGCACGGGGCATACCTGTCTCCACCTTTCTCAGCATGCTCTGTGAGTCAGTACAATCACGGCATGTGTCTGAAGCCAGTGGAAGGCAGCAGTTACCCCCTCCACCTCTCAAATTAGATGTTGTGATATCATATACCAGGCTTTGCTGCACTAGGCGACATTCATTCATTTTTACTATTAACCCCCATGCACTTCGTCTGCCCCTCAATACAGAGCCATTTGTATATATAACCACATCACTTGGGTGGGAATTGTAATGAATCATTTGTTGAACTTTTGATTCTGCAGCACCAGCTGAACATCCCTGCACTCACTACTTAAAGTGATAAAAACCCTTCACAAGTCTGAAACTTGCTCTGACACTTTGACCCACTTTTCTCCTGGCTCAAATTTATCAAGCCTGCAAACATGTCTAATTGTATCTTCAGCTTGCACTATCCAAGACCTTCCTCTTTTCAGTCTGTGACCCTTAGCTCTACCCAGGGCTTCATGCAGGAAGTGCTTATTGTCTGCAGCTACTCTGAGATATGACTTTGCTTGCAGAACTTTGAGCCTATCTGCAATAGTAGGTAGTGCAAGTATATATTGCATACATACTACCGGGGTATCTCTTGTACATCCCAGAATTACCTGCATGGATTCATTCTGTATGCGTTCAAGTTTCATCAGCTGACTCTTGAAAATGGTAAGCATTCCCAGTCTATAATCTGTCACCGACAGGATCACATGCTGGAACACTGTGAACAGCATTCTTTGTTCCATGTCCATTGCACACATGCCTCCACATGATCCCTGAAGGACAGGCTTCTGTCTTAAATGATACCCAGGTACTTCAGTTTGCTTTCTCTTTTGATGTTAATGTTATTGATAGTTAGGCTTGGAACATCAGCTCTTACAATTCTATTGTCTGCCATCTTCTTTCTCATATAACTGTTGCTACCAGTAGTGCCCAGACATTCCTCTTATTTCTTTACCCCTTTTGAATTAATTCCATTTTATATTCCTTTTCCTCAGGTATTTGTTTTCTAATGCCATGCCTTTAGTGATTCTGCACATTTCACTGGCATATGTTAGTACTGAATTAATATTAGAACTGAAAATATATAACCTGATTGAAACAATACAGTTGAGTACTATTAGAAGGTTGCATAGTACAATGAAAATAATTGTGCAGCATGATGAATGTTGCCAGGCAACTATAACACCCTCCCAGCAACTGTACATCTATAGTACCCTGGACATCTCACTCAGTCAGGACCCCGTGTGTGGGTACCAGGGTCTCAGGGGACAAGAATAGGAGTTTTCCTTCTAATGCCTAAGAGGTGAAAAACCAACATTCTTCACATAAATAAACCAGATTTTTAAAATGATTGTGTAAACAAACTCAAGTCGGGAACATGATCAAAATTCAGAGGTGAATGGGCAACAATAACTTTCTGCCAAAGTTTACAGCCAATGAATGCTAGGAAGAAGAATCAATCAGGTGCCATCAGTGCAATGAAGTTAGGCTGCATTTGACCTCTGTCTCTTGTCCTGGTTGTACACTCTCTGAGACTGCTGTTAGTCTATATCTTGATTTTATCCTCCCACCTGTATCAGTGTCTACCTCTTGCTCATTCCCTTTCAACTTTACCCTTTAGTAGGTTTTTTTAAATAAAAGTGTTTTGTCTTTTGTTGTGGCCAGAATATTTTACTGACACTTTTTTTCTTTCAACAGTTCTTTCTTCATTCCCAGTTCTTTAAGAATCCTTTATATTTTCATTTCGTCCTTTTTAGGACGAAATTTTTTGTTATTTGAAGCCCCACCCTGGCTTTTGCCAGGGGCCGCAATATAGGCAGGCCATAAATATGGCCAAATGTCTGAACGCGGTTTCTGGGACCTCTCCACGGTGATCCTCATCCACATGGTGGCACTTTGTGTCATCGGGTGTTTATCGCTTGTGTGATGTCCTGGTGGGGTAGAAAGTCAGTCAATCTCTTGGTTTGAATTGTTATGTTTTCCTAAAGGACACCATAACACAGGAAATAAAGTGTGAAAAGCTTTTAAAATATTGTCACCAGCATTCATCGACATGTTCCCGTATTGCTGTGTCTCCTTACAAATTCTTGTCGACTCCTGTTTATCACAGAGACCATGTTATGGTCTACTTTGCAACCATTTTTTGTGAATTTGCACGTGAATTTTTTGGTCTTTTTTCTATTTTTGAAGGGGCCATTGAAAGAAGAGACCATGAACAACGTAGAGAAATATGTGGAGAAAGATGACCATTTGCCTGTTCTCCTCACCAGGTATGTTTCCTGTCCTCTTGGTTGAATTGTTGCTACTAATATAACCAGCTTTTCCCTTTGAGGAGAGTGCATCTGCTTGAGACGCAAGGAACCAGCAGTCTTCATACAAGTGAGTCAGATCTGTAAAACGAATGCACACGCAACACTCAAGTTCTGGAACAGGACTGCAGGCCAGGAGTGGATGAAGGATGAACAACCAGAACTTTCTGCCAGAGTTTACAGCTGGTGAACGCAAAGAAGAAGAAGAAGATAACCAGCTTTGTGTAGGGTGGGCTAATAAAAAATAGTCTGGAAGATAGCAGATATCTGTTATAGTTTGGGTTGACTGGTTGTATCTAAACACAAAAATCAACTGATGCATTTACATACAAGTTATTGGATCCTTGTTTTAGTTACACTGTAAGAGTTCAGCAAGACATTATGCTGCTTTGGGAGTTGATAGGGTGAAAGAAATACTGTAAAATGATCAGAGGCCTCAAGTATTCTGGATATTTAGAAGGGATTATTGGAATATTTTATGGTGACATCGGGGAATTGAATTTGACTTGAGAAGGTGGAGGGTTAGAAGAATCTATGATTAAAATTTGACTCAAGAGAATGGATGCTTGTAATGTGACTTAAGAGAAGGGATGATTGAAATATGACTTGAGAGAAGGGATGATTGAAATGGGAATTGAGAGAAGGGATGATTGTAATGTGACTTGAGAGAATGGAGGATACAAATCTGATTTAGAGAATGGATGATTAGAATATGACCAGAAAATTTATGATTAGAATGTGACGTGAAAAAAAAACAGAATTATTATGGAGCGCATCTGCATGAGCCAGATCTATAAAATGGATGTGCACAAAAAACTCAAGTTCTGGGACAAGACTGAATCCAGAAGTAAACAAACAACCAAACCTTTCTGCCAGAGTTTACAGCCAGTGACTGAATCCAGAAGTAAACAAACAACCAAACCTTTCTGCCACAGTTTACAGCCAGTGACTGAATCTAGAAGTAAACAAACAACCAAACCTTTCTGCCAGAGTTTACAGCCAGTGACTGAATCCAGAAGTAAACAAACAACCAAACCTTTCTGCCACAGTTTACAGCCAGTGACTGAATCCAGAAGTAAACAAACAACAACCAAACCTTTCTGCCAGAGTTTACAGCCAGTGACTGAATCCAGAAGTAAACAAACAACCAAACCTTTCTGCCACAGTTTACAGCCAGTGACTGAATCCAGAAGTAAACAAACAACAACCAAACCTTTCTGCCAGAGTTTACAGCCAGTGACTGAATCCAGAAGTAAACAAACAACAACCAAACCTTTCTGCCACAGTTTACAGCCAGTGACTGAATCCAGAAGTAAACAAACAACCAAACCTTTCTGCCAGAGTTTACAGCCAGTGACTGAATCCAGAAGTAAACAAACAACCAAACCTTTCTGCCAGAGTTTACAGCCAGTGACTGAATCCTGAAGTAAACAAACAACCAAACCTTTCTGCCAGAGTTTACAGCCAGTGACTGAATCCAGAAGTAAACAAACAACCAAACCTTTCTGCCAGAGTTTACAGCCAGTGACTTAATCCAGAAGTAAACAAACAACCAAACCTTTCTGCCAGAGTTTACAGCCAGTGACTGAATCCAGAAGTAAACAAACAACCAAACCTTTCTGCCAGAGTTTACAGCCAGTGACTGAATCCTGAAGTAAACAAACAACCAAACCTTTCTGCCAGAGTTTACAGCCAGTGACTGAATCCTGAAGTAAACAAACAACCAAACCTTTCTGTCAGAGTTTACAGCCAGTGACTGAATCCAGAAGTAAACAAACAACCAAACCTTTCTGCCAGAGTTTACAGCCAGTGACTGAATCCAGAAGTAAACAAACAACCAAACCTTTCTGCCAGAGTTTACAGCCAGTGACTGAATCCAGAAGTAAACAAACAACCAAACCTTTCTGCCAGAGTTTACAGCCAGTGACTGAATCCAGAAGTAAACAAACAACCAAACCTTTCTGCCAGAGTTTACAGCCAGTGACTGAATCCAGAAGTAAACAAACAACCAAACCTTTCTGCCAGAGTTTACAGCCAGTGAACACAAAGAAGAAGGAGAATATTCTTGATTATTTGAACATAAATTATAATATGGTTGTTTAGTTAGTTAGTTAGTCTTTCCTCTTGTGTCGAGTGCGGCACATAGGGCAGAGGTCATGACTCTCCATGCACGGCGGTCCGTTGCAATCCGTTGTAGGTCTTGGATGTTTGAGTGGCCCATGAGCGAGACTTCCCTGATGATAGTTCTACGTAGGGTTTCCCTTGGTCTTCCACGAGATCTTTTCCCCTGTGGTGTTCAAATGAGGGCTTGGTAAGGAAGTCTTGATTTATCCATTCTAAGGGCGTGGCCGACATAGTTCCAGCGGCGTTTTCGTATAAAATTAGACACATACTCTTGCCTGGATTCTTGCCTTATTTGTGTATTGGTTCGGAAATCTGACCATTTGAAATTTTTTAATAGTTGTTTACTATCCTTTAATTTCCCCAGACTTCGTACACAGGGAAAGAAAGTCTTTCTGGCCACCAACAGTGACTACAAGTACACAAATGTAAATACTGGGTATTCTTGTTATAGCTTGTCACAGTAATTTTTAAACTCTTGGTTCTGAGCATCAACATCATTGGACTGTTGGAAAATGTATAGATGCTCCAATGGCCCCACTTTAGGGTCTGTGTCATTCTCCATCTCTATTATCCAGCCACCTGAGCCTTCAGAAACTGATCATTAAGAAAACTCTTCTAATACCTGCTCTTTCCAGTACTTCAGTGTTTTTTTTTTTTTTTACCAAAGAAGGTACATTGCCTTCTTCTTATGTGGGTGAACTCTTTCTTTACCCAACAATGCACTATGTTTCTTTGTCATTCAAAGATAAAATAACATTAGGGCTGGTTCCTGTCAGAGACAGTCATTATATTAATTATTTGTATATGATTAATAGGTTAACCACCTGTGATCTTCATTGCGTCTTTTAAACTGTTTTGTATTTAAGAATATGATATTTTTAAGCTCACTTCCTTGCAATACAAAGGTTTTAAGTAACAATTGCTTGGGGCTGAGAAAGTTAACAGTTCTCTTCAGTTTATTTCTCTCAAGACATCTCCCTTACATAAAACTAATGCTTGGACCTGGGCTTTGAAACATTTTTTCCAGACTAAACTAGTGTGTCACTAGGCCAAGTGTCAGCAACTTGCTCATTGAGAACGATATCACGCCCTCGTACCACCCCAGAATGTATGTGGGAAATTGTGGTAATCCAAACGCGTGCTTTTGATTTTTGAGACATGATGCTTTCTTTAGTTTAGTTAGTCAGGCGACAGATTATCCTCACTGCACATTCAGTCCATAAGTGCTCGGATCCCTTCCTCAGTAAATCCTGCAGTGTTTAGTGGCTGAAGACACCAGTCATGTGTTGGTTTCTCATTCGTCTGTGGGTTCCTGCATAGTGCTCTTGTCTAGAGCTAGCCCTTTTAACGTGCTGCTCTTATAGTCTGTTTATGGTTGCAGATTCACAGCTATCACTTGGTTCTCGCAAGCGTCTTACTTCTCGTAGAGCAGGTCCATGCTGATTTACTGAATGTGATGCTTTCTTTGATTTTTTTATAAAATTCTTAGATCTTCTGACATGTCAGTATTTTTTCTTCTTCTTGAACTATGGTATTTTAAGCTTTTAAAAGAATTAATTTAATTATATAGTCTTCACAATGATGATTGGCTACAGTGAACCCACGTACCCTCAGCTCTTTGGGAATATTACTTTTTGAAGCTCTAATCTCTCTTGTGGTGTGTCTTTCATACCGTTGACCACCAACTATGAGAATTGTTTAAAAAAAAATACTCTGTGCATATATTTCAAACCATAGAATGTTGAAGATCATGACATTGTTAGACTCATTCACTAACCACAGAGCCGCACATTGTTGGTTCTGTAAAATTTTAATTCTGTAGGCCTGATTCTCTTCATTATTGATCGTGAAATGATTTATGGCTCAGGTGCGCATGTTACCACATGGAAGATGCACTTTCTGCAAAAGTTTTACTTTCTTGCTAGTGTTGTACTACAGTTTAAGGTACTGTATCAGCACAAAGAAACTTCTCATACAAAAGCATATTCATTCCCATTCTATGCTACCAGTGCCAGACATGGTTACTCACATCAGAGAAACTCTGCAGTGGTATGACGTGTCTGTGGTCAAGATGGCCAGAAGAACAAAAAGCCGAACCCCGTATCTTTCACTACACTCAAAGTGGTGAAAGAAGAAGTGAAAAGAAAAAATACTATATAGTCCTTATCATTTATCTGATAATATGTGACGGTCTTTCTTTATTGCCTGTGTTCATGACTTTTGAAAATGCTGTGGGGCAGGAAAGTCTGGAGCATGGGGATTTATGGCTGCACAGCTAGTGCAGCAATTACTGTAGGTACAGGTTAGCATTTTATTTTTGCTCCCGACAGAACAAATCCATAATATTACTGAGCATTTGAACCTAGGTCTCCTGAATGCCAGCACAGTTATCTTAACTGCTTGGCCAGCTATCCCTGTTCTTAACCGCTGGCCAGCTGCTGCTTGGCCAGCTGTCCCTGTTCTTAACCGCTTGGCCAGCTGCCCCCAGCTACAAGGAAACCAAAACAGCGCTAAAGCAGTCTTTCAAGCGGGAGTGGAGAAGGCAGAATGGAGATTACAGACCAGAGAGTGACAGCATAAACAAACTCAACAGGAAAGAACAAATATCAGTTTTTAGACTTCGGACAGGACACTGGTTTTCGAGCACACCTGTACAGGATAGGCATAAAAGAATCTGCTGCCTGTGATTGTGGAGCAGAAAGACAGACCCCTGAGCACATACTGCAGTACTGCCCTTATCTCTCCCAGCAAAGACTGTGGATCTGGCCCAGGGGATCCACATTGCGAGAGAAGCTATGGGGGACCCGACCGGTGGCGACCTTAAATGCATAATCCTATTTGTGACCCAGACGGGACTCAATGTTTAGCATGACTGATGTCGAACGCAGAAGAAGAAGAAGAATATAGAACAGTCTTTATAATTTTGTAGCATTATAGTTAATTTCGTTAAAAAAAAAACTGCACATACGCACACACACACACACACAAAGAAAGAGAGGGAGAGGTATATTTCTTTTGAATCTCTGTCCACCAAATGAGAGTCCACTGTTTTTAAACGCTTAGCCAACCACCACTCTTATATATGATAGTAAACATCTGTGGTTTTTTTTTTTTTTGATTATTACAGCTAATTCAGTTATGTGTATATAAATATTTTTCTATCTCATTACTTTTCTTAAATTTTATTTCAGAAAATCATGAATTATTTGTTTGATGCAGAGGTAGGTGTCCACATGAATTACCTTACAAAGATTAATTTACTTTCAGCACTTACTGAGCTTATGTTTACTTTATTAGTTAGAAGAACAAAAAATTAAGAAATTAAAAGGGAAAAAACCATAGTAAGAAAATTGACACTGTTTTATACAGTTTTACACACATTTTATGAGATGTAGGTTAGTGTGTTACTGTATTTATTTTTACATTGTAAGAATAAGTCGTATTTTCTCTCTGCCTGCCTGCCTGCCAGCCTGTCTGTCTGTCTGTCCTCTTCTTTACTATGTATGTATGGTTGGATGCATGCATGCATTACCAACCATGCTTTTTGTGTATTTTACTTGATAGTTGTAATATGTATATTGCTATACATAACATGCTTTATAGATCAAATATAATTGCTGTATGAAAAATGAGTTTTGGGAAGGGCCGAATGTAAGATGGGCCTGCCTAGTCAGTTTGTAACCCTTTGAAAATAAAGTGTGTTCTTTTTTTTTTTCCTTTTTTGTCTTCATTGCTATCTCCCTCCTTCTCTCTCTTTTTCTTCTCTGCCACCACCTGTCACACCCCCTTTATAAAAAGTTTCAAAATGTCAAAAATCAGTTGACCGTTAAATCCACAGACCAATCCAGATAATGCTAGCTGGATAACCTTCTTTGATTTCATTGTTGTGGATGCACGGAAACCACTTTTCTTTGCCCAAGGGACGGTACTGAGAGAAGTCAATATTGTAAGTTACACTTATTTTGTCCCCTTGTTTTTCTCAAGAGGGCTTCTAGAGTGGCTGATTGGCTTGCACTTCTGCACCCACTGTCTCCCTAATGCTCATGTTGTTAGCATCAACTAATTAGGGGTTTCATTTAAAGTCAGAGCCCATCTGCCAGAGAAGCAGTGAACCAACAGTCTGCATCCATAAGCCAGATCTGTAAAACAGTTATGTACATTCAAGTTCCAGAAGTGGATGAATAACCAGAACTTTCTGCCTGAGTTTATAGGCGATGAACATAATTTTTAAATGTTGTTGTTCAGCTATATCCTTTTCGTCCTTATTAGGATGAAATTTTTCGTTATTTGAAGTCCTACCCTGGCTTTTGCCAGGGGCCGCAATATAGGCAGGCCATAAATATGGCCAATTGTCTGAACGCGGTTTCTAGGACCTCTCCACGGCTATCCTCATCCGCATGGTGGCACTTTGTGTCATCGGGTGTTTATCGCTTGTGTGATGTTCTGGAGGGGTAGAAAGTCAGTCAATCAGTCAGATGAACATAAAGTAGAAGAAGAATCCACTTAAAAATGGATTGTTTTTCCTCTGGCTGACCAGGCTCACAGGTTGATCTAGTTTGCAATGATTTACAGGACATTGTAAGCTTAGTTGCGTATCCTTTACAGGACATAGCAGAACCAGCCCCAACAACCCCTGGCTATTGTGTGGTTTCTCTAGGCAAATTTATGTCCAGTAGTTTGCCATTGCTTTCTGGACGGTCGGCCCCCTGATACCACTGTCGAAACCAAGGCAAGGCGCATGGCCCGCAGCTGGGATCGAAACCGGCACCACGGCATTACAAAGCGTTCGCATCGACTTAGCCACAGAGCCGCCGGACATAGTAAAGACAGTCCTAATGACCTGGGTGATGCCATCAGGGCCATGGGAGATGCATACGGGAAAGATAATTAGAGCAATATGCATGATGCTGTATCATTGTCATGTTTGAATTCTATTTCTTTTCTTAGTTTAAATGTGTGTTTTTTCTTTTCCAATTTTTTATTTGACATATTTTACGACAACTGACGTACATATGGGCCAGTTATATTTAATGTCAGCACATGGAGATTCACTCTGTTATTTAGCCCTGTTTATCCCAGTATTTGTGAACATCAGAGTAACAGTCTTTGAGTCTTATTCTGTACAAAGTAGTTGTTACTTAAACCCATTCTGTCCTGGGGAATTGGGCTTGAAAGTAATAAATATTTAGCTTTGAAGCAGAAAGTTTCAGCAAAGAAACACGGGAACTGAAATGGTTACAACAGTATTTCAAACAACTGGGGTAAACAAAACATCTCTCAGTGATAGAAGATGACAAAAATCTTATGTTATCTTTAGAATGACCATGAATTATATCAGGAGTTGCTTTTACTGAGAGAGTTGCGATGTTGAAAAGATGGATAATTAGAAGAATATCTGCTCTTTCTAATGCGTGTTATGAGTTTGTAAAGTGTATTTTTTTTTACTTATTTTATCCTTTCTTCCTCTTCTTCAGCCTTCTGAGCTCTTGGAGTTTGTTAGTAGGTCAGCCTATATATATCTTCTTCTTCTGTGTTTATCCAGAGATGTTATTGTGTTGTGCCCGTTCACATCATGGCTGCAGTATTTACGCCTTTAATCTGACATGTTGGACTTCTGCAGGAATTTGTTGACTATGCTAGCCTTCCCAGTGCCTGTATATTACCTCTTCCCCATCTTCTTGGTCTACCTCATGGTCTGTTCCAATTCAGCTCTTTTGTGAATGCAGTTTTTTTGGCTCTCTGTTGTCTGCTATTCTCTCTATTTGCCCCAACCATTCTAGTCTGTTAACGCTTATGGAGACCAGTGATGAGTGCTGGTTTAAACAGATTGTTAATTTGATTGTTACTTTTCACTCTCCTTTCTCTGCTGCTGTCATTTTAGGTATTATTCACAAAAGTCACTCCGTCTCATTGGCGGTGAGATTTCCTAGCGGTTCCCACGAGCTGTCCTATGATGTTGTAGGGGTGTTAGGATATGTCTTCCTTTGCCGTCTGTATACAACCTGCTGAAAAGTGGCCTGGGTTCGTTCGACGAGGTCGACACAATGTCTCCCTGACGAAACTGCGCAGCTATCTTTTTGCAACTCACTTTTCTGTGAATGATTGTTGTTTCTGGAATGTGTTTTTGTGATTAGGTCGTATAAGAAAGAATCCCTGTGTGGGTTCCGGGGCCCCATCGTGGGGAAAACAAGAAAAGACCCACTGCCTCCCCAAAAGCATGTCGTAAGAGTCGAATAATTGGGAGCTTTCTTTGAAGTCTGAGTGCATCTGCCTGTGAGGCAAGGAACCAACAGTCTGCATTCAAGTGAGTCAGATCTGTAAAACTGATGCACACGCAACACTCAGGTTCTGGAGCAGGACTGCAGTCCAGAAGTGGACGAACAACCAGAACTTTTTGCCAGAGTGTACAGCTGGTGAACGCAAAGAAGAAGAAGATAAGAAAGAAGTACTGCAGGGGGGAAGTGCTGAAGGCACGATAGTTCATGAGTATCGAATCATTGATGTTTTTTGCATTTTTACGCTAGTTGGCAGTGGCTGTCGTCAGTGATGGATATGCTTAAAATGGTCAAAATGAGGAACACATGATGCCCCTAGACTAAAGGAGTGTCCAGGGAAATCCCCTATAAAATCACTTGGCTGACAAGATTGGGTGACTTTCATGATTTGTACCATATTTTATTCTATAGTGAACCTGTTCAGACCCAAAGATCTCTAATTAAGTAACAGTGTTTATGATATGGTATGGCATATCAGCAAGTGAAATGGTTTGCCCACTTAGAGAGAATGCCTTGTGACACCATACCATACAAAGCATACATGGAAAGAGAAGAAGGACGTAGAGCACGGGGTAGACCAAGAACACGATGGAAGAATAACATCAGAGAAACTCTACAACAGCACGATGTGCCTATGGTTGAGGCGGCCAGAAGAGCTAGAAACAGAACCTTATATCTCCCTCGACACCCACAGCGGTAAAAGAGGAAGTGAAGAATGAAGAAGAAGAAGAAGTTGATGATATACTGAGTACAAAAGGTCCCTGCAAGTACTGAGAGAGTTAGTGTACTGACATTTAATGACAAGCCAGGGATGTCTTCATATGGGACGTTATTTTGTAATTATACTAAAGCCCCGCCCAGCTGTCATCGGGGGCCCCAATATAACTCAATGGTTGAACAGGGCTTCTGGAACTTGTGCCTGGGGAATCTCATCTGAGTGGTGGCACTTTGTGTCACTGAGTGTTTATCGATTGATGTCCAGTCCTAGTTGTGTTAAACATTACTTACTTATTAGCGTATTGGCATGTGATACGTAACCTTATTATGCATGTGCTTTCACGTGGTATGTGTTCTTTTATGCAGAAAACTGGAGGCCTGCATCTGGGAACTTTCACTGGAAAGATCCGATCCAACGCCATCTACTCTGGAGGTGGGGTCTGCATTTACACCTTCATGCGTACACATATTCACACAAGTAGACACAGATATTTTCAACAAAATGTGAAATGTATTATATTACCTTACTGCCATTACTGACTGTGTTTACCACTTTTGCTGTGTGGGAGAGGGGGGTGGGGGGGGGGGGGGGTCTTTGAACCTGAAGATCTAGGTCTGCATGGCTAGTGCTGTTACAACAACTGTGCAGGTTAGGGCTCTCATTTTGCCCTGACAGAAGAAATCCACAACTTTACAGAGGATTCTTCTTCACACACCGGCTGTAAACTCTGGCGTAAAGTTCTGGTTGTTCTGACTCATTTGCATGCAGACTGTTGGTTCCTTTCCTCTCAGGCAGATGCACTCAGATTTAGAAGCAAGCTCCCATTTAGTCTACTCTTACGACATGCCTTTGGACAGGCAGTGGGTCTATTCTTGTTTTCCCCACAATGGGGCTCCAGTACCCACACGCGGAAATCTTACCGATGATTCAAACCAGGGTCTTCCACATCAGAGCTCGTCTTCTGAACCATAAGGCCAGCCACTCCTAAATGTTTCATAAATACCATAATATTATGTATACATTAATGCTGTATTAGAGGAGTGGCTGGCAGAGTGGTTACATCGGGCTGTCATGCAGGAGACCCGAGTTCGACTCCTAGTAAGGTGGTGGAGTTTTTCTATGAGAGGCAAAATTAAATATCCTAACCTGCACAGTGCGTGGCGTCAGCACTAGCCATGCGGCCCTAAATCCTCAGGCTCACCACTCCCTATGTATATACCACCCAAAAAGGCTGTAAAACAGACAGTAGTGACAGTCTTTAATGCTGCTGTAATATAATTTTAGAAATACATTAATAATACTGAAACCTCCAATGTGATGTTGACCACACTACCCATTGAGTTGGGTTTGGTCTGACAAATACAGATCTAGCCCTATATTCCCTTTAAGGAACCTTCACTTGATTTATATACTGAAACCCACTGTGTGGTACAGAGACATGAACAATGAACTGACAGTTTTTAAGTCAGACTGAGTCTCTGGAAATGTTCTTATACAGAAGAATAAATAGGTCATGTTTCATGGAAACGAAGGACAAAGGAAGTACAGAGGTTTTGAAGAGCCTAGGAATAAAAATACATTTATCCTGAAGAGAGCACACAGAATAACCTTACATCTCTCCTTAAAACTTCATTGGGTTCATTGGAGGAAGTGAAGAAGAAGAAGAGAATTAAAGGAGAGTTGCTGAAAGAAATAAAAAAGAGACTAGAATTATTGAACAATATGTAATTTATGTTACGTACTAATGCTAATATCTTGGACAAAGAAGAGGAGAAATACTGACATCTTGAAAGATCTGAACATCAAGGAAGATTGGCTAATAAACAGCATCCTGACTCAGAAACTGAAATATTTTGGTCAAATCAAGCGCCACGACGGATTAGAAAAAATAATAGCTGAAGGAGGGGCAGGGGCCGACCAACACGAAGATGGGCACAGGATATAAGTGACTCCTTGAGTATGAAAGTACATCTGCCTGAGAGGCAAGGAACCAACAGTCTGCATGCAAATGAGTCAGACCTGTGAAATGGATGTACACACAACACTCAGGTTTCTGGAACAGGGCTAAAGTCTAGAAGTGGACGAACAACTAGAACTTTCCGCCGGAGTTTGCAGCAGGTGAACGCGAAAAAGAAGTTATGTACTGTTACTGTTATGACTCTTCCCCTTGCAGGTTCCAAGGCCTCGTTTTGGGGAAAACAAAAATAGACCCACAAGAATGTTGTAAAAGTCGACTAATTAGGGGCATTTTCTTCTAAGTCAGAGTAGATCTGCCTGATGGGCAAGATACCAGCATTCAACATACAAATAAGCCAGACATGTAAAATGAATATGCATGAAAAACTTAAGTTCTGGATCAAGACCGAAGTCCAAAATGGATGAACAACTAGAACTTTCCGCTGGAGTTTACAGCCAGTGAACGCTAAGAAGAAGAAGGAGACTGTTATGGATACTACTGCTGCAGCTACTACTACTGCTACTGTTGCAGCTGCTACTACTACTACTGTGGCTGCCACCACCACTACTACTATGACTGCTACTACCGGTACTACAGCTAATACTATAATAAGTGATACTAATATTATTTCTTACCAACAGGTTCAGTTGATGTTTTCAATGGTATGATGGGGATGGTCAACTCAAGCGCGGAGGTCCTGTACGTGGGTGACCACATCTTTGGAGACATCTTGAAGTCCAAGAAAAACCGTGGCTGGCGAACATTCCTGGTGGTTCCTGAGATGTTGCAGGAGCTTGCAGTGTGGACACAGCAGAGCCAGTTGTTTCGCAAGTTGTCAGATTATGATGCCCAGATAGCAGATATGTACAGGTGATTGTCTTGTTTTTTCTTGATTTATTTTGTAGTTGATGAGTTAAAGCAGTCCTTTCTGTAAAGTATTCTTTTTTTCCATTCTCTTACTCTCCCTGTTGCCTTTCTTTCTTTCTTTCTTTCTTTCTTTCTTTCTTTCTTTCTTTCTTTCTTTCTTTCTTTCTTTCTTTCTTTCTTTCTTTCTTTCTTTCTTTCTTTCTTTCTTTCTTTCTTTCTTTCTTTTTTTCCCCCTTTCCTCTCTCCTTTCTTTTTGTGTTTGGTTTCTTTCTTTCTTTCTTTCTTTCTTTCTTTCTTTCTTTCTTTCTTTCTTTCTTTCTTTCTTTCTTTCTTTCTTTTCTGTTTTTCTGCCTTTCTTTACCATCTTTTCCCTATTTTAGGCTGTATAGTCTTGAGTCCATGACTTAAAGCTGCATTAAACTGTACAGCATATGAACTGTCCAGCGTATAAACTGTACGACAAATGAACTGTGCAGCATATAAACCATGCATCATATGAACTGTGCAGCATATAAACCATGCATCATATGAACTGTGCAGCATATGTACTGTGCAGCATATGAACTGTGCAGCATATGTACCGTGCAGCATATGTACTGTGCATCATATGAACTGTACATCATATGAACTGTACAGCATATGAACTGTGCAGCATATGAACTGTGCAGCATATGAACTGTACAGCATATGAATTGTGCATCATGTGAACCATGCATCATATGAACTGTACAGCATATGAATCGTGCAGCATATGAACTGTGCAGCATATGAACTGGGCAGCAAATGAACTGTGCAGCAAATGAACTGTACAACATATGAACTGTGCAGCATATGAACTGTGCAGCATATAAACCGTTCAGCATATATATAAACTGCAGCATATAAACCGTTCGGCATATATATAAACTGTGCAGCATATTAACTGTGCAGATATAAGAATCATTTTTATTATCATATTTCTATCTTAAAGCACACTGATAAATGTTACTGCAGATCACAAGATGTATGAATGCCCATACCTTCCAACAGGGCACTTGATGATGATTTCAAAGATGTATGTTTTATGAATCTAAATATATTCTGTTCTTCTTCTGTTTTGTGTGCCTTTAAAATGGTGGTTGACACGTTGTATTGTAGTTTACAGGTGGGCTGTGATAGTTATCTTTTGACCCAACACATCCAGTTTGAGCAGACTCCTAATCAGTCACCTTGTACAACATGTTGGTTAGGAATTTTTTTGTTTTTTGTTTGTTAGTCCTCAGAGTGGGGGTACAAAACCCACACCGGGAGTCATGTTCATTATGTCAGCAAAAGCACAACAGGAGAGTCCTGAAAGCTCGGAAGTCATGACAAGGTTGGCACACCCCGGGAGAGTGTTAGGAGATAAAGGGGCTGAAACACTTGTCAAAGAGGGACTTATTCTGATGATTAAAAGGCTCCTGTTGTGTTTGCTTCTCCGCAGAGTACTTTCTACTTAGGCATTGAGTTTTAAGTTAGTTATTTAGTTTGATGTTAGTTAGTACTGCAAACAACGATTGTGTACCCATCTCTTTTGCAGAAATATGGACAGTAGCGATGTGACACACCCAAACATCACCAAAATCAAGAAAGCTATTCGGGTAAACAGTTTTTTGAAGTTGAAGTAAACAATAACTAAACTTTAAATATTTAGATCTAATGTTATGTTGATAAAACCAGTCGTTTTATATGGCTCTGAAACTTGGTGCACAGCTAAAAGAGATAAAGCCTTATTACAGGTTTTCGAAACAGAATCTTATGACAAATCTTTGGAGCCATCAAAGATGCAAACAGCGGTGAATGGAGAGTGAGAAGCTACAATGAAATTCATAATCTGTTTAAATCACCAATGATGACTGGCATCATGAGAGCTAATAGACTGAAATGGTTGGGGCATATTGAGAGAATTTCAGATGACAGAGAAGTAAAAACTGTCTACACCAGGGAGATAAATGGTCTTGAACTACGAGGCAGACCAAAAAGACGATGGAGAGATAATTTCCAGACCTGCAAACACTTGGTGTCACCAACTGGAAAGAGAAGGCCAACCAGAGAGATTAGTGGAGGCGGGTGATATCTACAGCAATGAACCTCAAGGGATCGGAATGCTGAAGAAGGCCAACCAGAGAGATGAATGGAGGCAGGTGATATCTGCAGCAATGAAGCTCAAGGGCTCAGAATGCTGAAGATGAAGAAGAAGAAGAATGTCTAATTTGTTCAGTTTTGTGGCACCAAAATATGGAGAACAACTAAAACAGTTACTATTAAACTACAAATATTCATTAATTGCCATTTGCACAAAATAGAGGGAATTGAATGGTATTATAAAATGTCTTCTCTTTTTAACAAGTGCTGATCGGAATATCTAAGTTAATTTTTAAAGTGTTTACATTACAGGACTTTATCTAGTTTATCTGGTGTACATTAAAGATCTCTTGATAGACATAAAGAGTAGGCCAAGATGGCAGCTACATTGTCACATTTACAAAAATACAAATAATAATAAGAAGCTATGCATGATAGTGAAGGGACCTTTAGTAGTGGATTAGACCCATGGTAGTAGATTTGACCCTTTCTAGTGGACTGGACACAAAGTTCTAGGCTTGACCTATGTTAGTGGGCTGGACTGACAATAGTGGATTGAACCCAAAATATTGGGCTAGACCTATGTTAGTGTACTGGACACATAGTAAGTGGATTGGACCTATAGTAGTGGACTGGACACATAGTAAGTGGATTGGACCTATAGTAGTGGACTGGACACATAGTAAGTGGATTGGACCTATAGTAGTGGACCGGCCAAGGTTGTGGAAGTCAGAGCATAAAGTATGCATCTGCTGTTTGGTCAAGCATATCAGTTGCTGAGATAAATTAGAAAACAGTATATGTGTGTGCTGACACAGGTGTGCAGGCATGCACCCTGTTCCCTCCCCCTTGTCCATGTGTGTGTGGTATGTGTGTGTAGAAAAAGAGAATAGAGAGAGAGAAGGGGAAAAAAAAGAATTTAGTGGATTCAGCTGAAGCAAAGAATAAATAATTTTATCCCAAAATTAGTAGACCAGAACCTTTTACATTTTAACAGAGTTGTGTATAAATGAGAAATCTTGAATATCACAAGAGAAATTAATGGATTAATATTGAATGTTTGCACAGACAATATCGTTTCACCAATATTTGATTCTTTTTATTTCCTATTTCTTCCTTTATTTAGGAAGCAACTCATGAAATGGACATGGCGTATGGAAAGCTTGGTAGTGTTTTCAGAAGTGGTAAGACTTCTGTTTGAATGAGTTGAGCTGAGTTAAGCAGAGTTGAGTTGAGTTGAAAACCAACATCAGACAATTAGGCTGTTCCTATAAGCTGTCCCTCCCCAGCTGCCAGTGAAGAGTTCCAGTAGTGATGTTGCCTGTCACAGTCTGACTATGTGTCTGCCTTGACTTTCCTCTTACTTTTGAGTTCGCAGATCCCCTGGCACCCCCTGCTGCACCATTTTCTTCAGACCTTAATTATCTATTTGTTCTTTTACATTGTTATTGTTTGGTTTCTGTTATTATTTGTTTAAAGTGTTAGATAAAATGCGGAGATTTAAGCCTTTGAAGGTTATGTACTATTAATGTTAGTAAAGTTTTGTTACCTGTCGAGTATTGGACACTAATTTCAATCAAGGGAAGGATTGGCACAACTTGGTGGAATATTGATGCATGATAAGGCAGACATTGTTAGGGCCATGTCGGAGAATGTGCACAATTCGGAGGAGCAAATGGATCACCAGTCTGGTGAGAGTAATGCAGCGGAGGAGCAAATGGATCACCAGTCTGGTGAGAGTGATGCAGTGGAGGAGCAAATGGATCACCAGTCTGGTGAGATTAATGCAGTGCAGGAGCAAATAGATCACCAGTCTGGTGAGATTAATGCAGTGGAGGAGCAAATGGATCACCAGTCTGATGAGATTGATGCAGTGGAGGAGCAAATGGATCACCAGTCTGGTGAGATTAATGCAGTGGAGGAGCAAATGGATCACCAGTCTGATGAGAGTGATGCAGTGGAGGAGCAAATGGATCACCAGTCTGATGAGAGTGATGCAGTGGAGGAGCAAATGGATCACCAGTCTGATGAGAGTGATGCAGTGGAGGAGCAAATGGATCACCAGTCTGATGAGAGTGATGCAGTGGAGGAGCAAATGGATCACCAGTCTGATGAGAGTGATGCAGTGGAGGAGCAAATGGATCACCAGTCTGATGAGAGAGATGCAGTGGAGAGTGGCAAGTGAATGTGGCCAATACTCGATGCTCATACGGACGTATAATCAGAATGCTGTTGGCATCATTCGTATTGGAACTCTGCGCTGGCTGCTGAAGATGGGTACGGAGTGCTAATGGGAATGCCTAAGTGCTGTGATGTTGGTTTTTGAATCAACTCAGCTCAGCTCAACTCAAATCTTCTTCTTCTTCTCTTTCTTTTCCTCCTCCTTCTTCTTCTCCTCCTTTTTCTTCTCCTCCTCCTCGTCCTCTTCTTCTTTTTCTTCTTCTTCTTCTAGTTTTTCGTATTGGTCATGGTCTTTATCATTGAAGCATAAAAATATGTCTAACCCGTTCTTTTTACTAAGAGATCTGTGAAACTGGAACATTCTTTCAATGTTCCTCTAGAGGAAAATAAGATAAAAAGACTAGTCTATTTGATGAGAGTCACTGTGGTGTAGCGTCTAGACACTCGCCTGCAGATTGGAAGGCCATGGGTTCGGGTCCTGACAGAGCCGAATTTTGTTTTTCTTGTTTCAAAAATGACCTTGGCTCCCAGCTCGATCCAGCCTTTAATGGGTACCAGTTGAAGTTCTGGGAAGTAAAGGTGGCCGGCATGATGCTAACCACATTACCCACCAAGTGCAGATTTGTCTACAGAATATAGTTCTAGCCCTATATGCCCAATACGCCTGAAGGCATCAAAAAAAGTCATTAACATTTACTATTTCATTTGTTATCTCTGTCAACAGGAAGTCGTCAGACATTCTTTGCTACACAGGTCATGAGGTATGCTGACCTCTACGCAGCAACCTTCACCAATCTTATCCATTATCCGCTGACCTACTGCTTCAGATCACCGCCGATGCATGTAAGTTCAAGATTTCTATTATAATTCTTTATCCTCATTTCTTTGAATTCCGGTTTGCAGATATACACCTGCTAGTTATGTATATTATTCTTGTTACCACCTTTTTGTCTTTCCAAAGACAATATTACATTATGCTGTTGAGAGTCACAGAGACCAGAGTTTATTGAGACAGCAAGGTGCCAGCTAAGACCAGCTGATGTAAAGAAGTCTTCCACCATTAGAATGTCGGATATCAGGATCAGTGTTGCCATTGAATATTGATGTGTATCTCCTCAAAAGCTCACCACTTACTCTTCTACCTGCAGTCATTTTCTGCTTTGTATTTGTGTTCTGTTTGATCCCAGCTGCAGGCCATATGCCTTGCGTTGGTTTCGACAGTGGTATCAGGCCATATGCCTTGCGTTGGTTTCGACAGTGGTATCAGGCCATATGCCTTGCGTTGGTTTCGACAGTGGTATCAGGCCATATGCCTTGCGTTGGTTTCGACAGTGGTATCAGGCCATATGCCTTGCGTTGGTTTCAACAGTGGTATCAGGCCATATGCCTTGCGTTGGTTTCAACAGTGGTATCAGGCCATATGCCTTGCGTTGGTTTCAACAGTGGTATCAGGCCATATGCCTTGCGTTGGTTTCAACAGTGGTATCAGGCCATATGCCTTGCGTTGGTTTCAACAGTGGTATCAGGCCATATGCCTTGCGTTGGTTTCGACAGTGGTATCAGGCCATATGCCTTGCGTTGGTTTCAACAGTGGTATCAGGCCATATGCCTTGCGTTGGTTTCGACAGTGGTATCAGGCCATATGCCTTGCGTTGGTTTCAACAGTGGTATCAGGCCATATGCCTTGCGTTGGTTTCGACAGTGGTATCAGGCCATATGCCTTGCGTTGGTTTCGACAGTGGTATCAGGCCATATGCCTTGCGTTGGTTTCGACAGTGGTATCAGGCCATATGCCTTGCGTTGGTTTCGACAGTGGTATCAGGCCATATGCCTTGCGTTGGTTTCGACAGTGGTATCAGGCCATATGCCTTGCGTTGGTTTCAACAGTGGTATCAGGCCATATGCCTTGCGTTGGTTTCAACAGTGGTGTCAGGCCATATGCCTTGCGTTGGTTTCGACAGTGGTATCAGGCCATATGCCTTGCGTTGGTTTCGACAGTGGTATCAGGCCATATGCCTTGCGTTGGTTTCAACAGTGGTATCAGGCCATATGCCTTGCGTTGGTTTCGACAGTGGTATCAGGCCATATGCCTTGCGTTGGTTTCGACAGTGGTATCAGGCCATATGCCTTGCGTTGGTTTCGACAGTGGTATCAGGCCATTTGCCTTGCGTTGGTTTCGACAGTGGTATCAGGCCATATGCCTTGCGTTGGTTTCAACAGTGGTATCAGGCCATATGCCTTGCGTTGGTTTCGACAGTGGTATCAGGCCATATGCCTTGCGTTGGTTTCAACAGTGGTATCAGGCCATATGCCTTGCGTTGGTTTCGACAGTGGTATCAGGCCATATGCCTTGCGTTGGTTTCGACAGTGGTATCAGGCCATATGCCTTGCGTTGGTTTCGACAGTGGTATCAGGCCATATGCCTTGCGTTGGTTTCGACAGTGGTATCAGGCCATATGCCTTGCGTTGGTTTCAACAGTGGTATCAGGCCATATGCCTTGCGTTGGTTTCGACAGTGGTATCAGGCCATATGCCTTGCGTTGGTTTCGACAGTGGTATCAGGCCATATGCCTTGCGTTGGTTTCGACAGTGGTATCAGGCCATATGCCTTGCGTTGGTTTCGACAGTGGTATCAGGCCATATGCCTTGCGTTGGTTTCAACAGTGGTATCAGGCCATA